AGAAAAACTCACTCAGCCAAAAAGTGTTTGTCAAAGAATTGTAGCAAGAGACAAGGTGAAGATAAGTGATTTCTGGGACATTCCAGTGAGGACCTGGAGGTCCAGAGGTCAGACAAGTGTCACTATGTCCAGTGATCATGTTGAATTATTATAAAGTTGGTTTCTCTACCATTCTCGTATTTACATGGACATGGTGATCTAAAACTCGTTGCTGTTTAGAACTGCTATTGGACAAATCAAAGGTATCTTTGTGTTCTTACTTTGGACACAATCTTTTCTTCTTTAGGGCTGGTAAGGGAACCTGATGTGGGTGAGGCAAGCTCTCTACTGCTGAGATATAGCCTCAGCCCTTGTTTTTCTGTTTAGTGATAGCATCCTGCTATGTAGCCCAGGCTGGCCTTGAACTCATAATATCCTGCATCTGCATGTTGAGATTACAGGCAGGTGCTAGCCACTATGCCCTCACACATCTGGATATGTTTTGTTTTTCTTTTCTGCTTTTTCCTTAACATATGACATCAGTAAAGATTAACTATCTTTTCCCATATCACTTCTGTCTCTTTACACACTTCCAAGAAACTGACGTTATAAAAAGGAAGGAAGAAGGAAAAAGAAGTAGTGGGGAGAAGGGAAATTTGGCTTGATTCTATAGTGCATTGGAATAATCGGTTTGTCCCTTTAATACACACTGTCATTGATCACCTCATGTGCCAGGCACATAGTCATCAGATACACGAGAGAACTTGCTGACTTCTGATGCTCACAAGCTGACAGGGAGGTAAACCTGAAATAAGAACTAACCAGACTAATGTATCACCACTCTCCATAGCAAGAGCAAAGGAGTGAACAACATCTGTACAGTCTTGCTGTTTGAAGAGTAGTCGTGGACAGGCGCACTCACCTGGGAGCTTGTTAGAAAATCAGAATCTCAGTATCCACCCAGGAACTCCGGAGACTGGATCTGCATTTTAACAAGATCTCTTGGGGATTTTCATGCTCCGTAGAATTTGAGAAGTGTGGCTCTCTGGTTCACAGGGCTGTGGGAGAAAACAACAGGTTGACCTAAGTTCAGCCTGTGGGTCAGGGAAGGATTCCCTGAAAAAATGGACTCTGATTAGGCCAGGGAGGCAAAGGCTCCATGGAATCTTTGAAGACAGGTGGAGAACTTAGGTCTTTTTCCCCTAAGAGCAATTCAAAGATTATATATGTAAATACATATGTTATATATGTTTATACTATGTGTCCCTTGTGTGTATGTTTGTGTGTAGGGTGTGTGTCTGTGCATGCATACGGTGTGTGTGTGTGTGTGTGTGTGTGTGTGTGTGTGCGTGACAAGCATTTGGGTGTGTGAATGTTGTAGCATGCATGCGGATGCCTGAGGATAACTTGGATTGTCAGTCTTCTCCTGTCTTTTTGAGACAGTGTCTCTTGCTGTTTGCTGTTGTGTATTACTCGCTAGCTGGCCCCCTAGCTTCTCCTATTCTCACTCACCATCTAGTCCTAGGTTTGAAGATGCAGTGCCACAGTTGACTTTACAGGAACTCAGTGGAGCCCAACTTAGGACTGCTGCCATAAAAAACCCCATAAAGTCCATAGTTATACAACAGGAATGTACTTTTCTCCCAACTGAGCGCTGGAGCTCTGAGAGAAGGGTACACGTATGGTCTGCATCTGTTGAGGATTCTCCTCCTGGCCTGCAGAAGCAGATCTCACTGTGGCTTCTCAAGGGAGAAAGAAAGAAAGAAAGAAAGAAAGAAAGAAAGAAAGAAAGAAAGAAAGAAAGAAAGAAAGAAAGAAGAAAGGAAGGAAGAAAAGAAAAGAAAAGAAAAGAAAAGAAGAAGGAGAAGGAGAAAGAAAGGAAGAAAGAAGAAAGACAAACGCCTCTTCCTGGTATCACTTTTTATAAAAACAGGAATATCTACAAGAAGATCCCATCCCCATGACCTCACCTACCCAAGTGACCCATCTCTATATATCATTCCTTCAAGGTTAGCTCTTCAGCATCTTCGGGTAGCAGGTGTGAACAATTCAGTCCCTATTAAAGTTTTAAGCAAAGAATAAGAAAAACAAGATTGCTTTTAAAATGCCACTCCTCTGGATGAAGTATTCTGTAAGGCTTGAAGGGGGTCAAGAACATATTCACAGCCAGGACTGACGGTACAGGTCTGTAACCCCAGATACTTGGGAGGTTGAGGACATAGGGGCACAATTCAAGGCCTACTTGGACCGCAGAGTATGTCACCCATAGCCTGAACAACATAGTAAAATCATTTCTCAAATGTTTAGAAAGGCAAGGACTGGGATGTAACTTGGTGGTCCACACTGTGGGCAGAGCCCTAAGTTTGTAGGACATCATAGATTCAGAGAGAGGGAGTGTGTGGGAGGGGGAGAGAGATAGGAGAAGAAGTGGAGTAGAAGTGGAGAGAGAAAGAGAGAGAGAGAGAGAGAGAGAGAGAGAGAGAGAGAGAGAGAAGACAACACTCAGGGGAGCAACTATTATTTCAAGAGTTAAGGCAAAGGATGTCAGATGTCAGTCACCTGGACAAAGGGACACGGGCAGAGAAGGAACAAAGTAAAATGTTCTAAATATTCAGTCATTAAACTTGACAGGCTTTGACAATGCATTTCAAGTTGTGGTTGGGGAGGAAAGCCAAGAAAAAGTGCCAGGTTTTTGGCTTGTACAAATGAGTAAGTATGATGTCATTTCTTGTGACACAAATAATCAGCATGTTTGTGTGTAGCGTCTTGTCCAACACAGAAATTACTGTAAGGAGAGCCATCATGTGGCACCAGTCTTTGTATAGATGTTTTATGTATCTTCTCTTAATTAATGTAGGACACAGACCTTGCCTTCTGAAATGGCAAGATCAACTCAGGCGAGCTAGCTATACAAGGCTGCATTGTTAAGTGCTTAAAATAGACTGGTACAATGAACAGCACAGAAGGCCCTTTGAACATCAGAGAAGCCAATGTGGATGAGGACAGCAGGACTGTAGCAATTGCAGGTGAGCCGAGGTCTACACACTTGGTAAGGAACAAAGAAACATGAGGTAGAGAGAAGGAACGGCCCTTTAGGAAGACAGTGGAGGTAAAGTTGGCTATAAAGGCGGGAGCCACATTTTGCAGGACCTTGAAAGTCTGTAATTTGGATTTTATGGAGGGACAGGTTTGAGTATAAAAGGAACATGACTTTACATGACTTCAGAAAAACCTGTCTGGCAACAGGGAAGACCGGAGCTGAAGAGCCTTGAATCCCAGAGGCCACCAATTAGCTCTTGTATCATATGGGGAATAGGTCAGAGCTCTGGCCTAGCTTGGAGGAAAAATCTAAGAGTCTTCATTTCCTTGAGTGAGAATGGGGGCAAATGGGGGCTAAAGTTTAAGGAATAAGGTTAGGAGACTGGGGATTTCATGTCAGAAGCAAGAGGAGATGGGAAGAGGATAATTTTAAGTTTGAGGACACACTGGCCAGGTGTGTGTCGTTAGTGTGCTGATACTGTAAAAGAATCTCCACCTGTTTGAATGGACCTACTTTAAATTTTCAGAAAACAAACGAAAACAAAACAGACTCAACCACAACCTACAAATAATGATATTGACTGGAAATGAGAGTATGAAGCATTAAAGCGGAATAAGACATGAGGTCTAGTAGAGAAAATTAGTCCACAAACAAGAAATGCTGTGTTTTAAGGATGCAAGTGCGAAATTAAAAAACAAAACGAAATCATTACATCATCCTGTTGCTCTATTGTGGACGATGCATTAAACAGGTGCTTACAAAAAGAACAGAGTTAGGTTCAATCTTTGTTCTTGCCTGGAGTTAGTCACAGGACATCATACTTAATTTTCAAGATCCGAAATGTTGTGTTTTGTGGAAGGAAATGTGTGCTTATTGTGTTTCTAAATGCCATATGTTTTTGTTTTTGTTTTCAAAGCATGAAGAAATGCTATTGACTGGGGGTGGGGGATAACCCTTTCCATCCGCCCCCCGGCCCTCGCCTTCTCTCGGGGGAATCCCAGCATCTTCTGGGTCGTCTTCTGTAGGCCAAGACCAGAGGATGCCCCTTAGTCCAGCTGCTCGTGTGCACAGCAGTAAAACGCCTTCCGGCAGGTGTGGCTGCATTAGTGACACTGTGGGCCAGGGAACGAGTGTTCACCAAACGGCATCTAAGAAGGTTACAGCACACCTAATCCTCTGGTGGGTGCCAGGCAGCAGCCTCAAAGCTTAATGTACAGATGCCAAATGAAGTCATTAAGGCCCCTGATGCTTTGGACACACAGATGGAAGATACACGGGTTCCAGGAAGTAACCACTGCAATGGCAGCTGTTCTGTGTGCTGGGGCTGCAAGCATGTGCTGATCTTGAATGTGTGCTCGGACTTGGTTACAGCCTTCCTGGGTCATGGAACACGCCTGTATATGTTTGGTGAGGTATTACTTTCCATGGCAAACGTTGTATTATTAATATATATTATATATAATCTATCAATCAATCATCTATCTATAGTCTATCATCTATCAATCATCTATCTATCTATCTATCTATCTATCTATCTATCTATCTATCTATCTATCATCTATCTATCTATATCCGCATGCTTTGTCAAAGTCGTAAGGGCTCCACTTTGGGGTGCAACTGCATCTCCTGGCCACCTTAGGAGACACTTCCCGGAATGTTGACGTTGCTCTGGGGCTGTCTGTCTGGAAGCGTGTTTGTCTGAGCTGCCCCTCTCTGTGCTCTGCCAATAGCGAGCCGCTCGCCCGCTCGCCCGCTGGCCCGCCGGTCCGCCGGCTCGCCGGCTCAGGCTCGCTGCTGAGACTGCCTTCTGGGGAGAGGGAGATCCCTTTTCCATCAGTATGGACGCACTGTTTTCAGACCCAGCCTGCGCGGTGTTGCTGTGTCAGTCATCCTATGGGGACCAGTTTCAGACGAGGAGGGCTGACGAGCTGGCCCGCGATTGGCCCGCAGCGCCTGGGCGGGGCCTGCGGGGAGGAAGGGCTGCAGCTCACAGCAACAGAGTTTAGACCCGTCTTTGCTTCATCATCTGAAGGTAAAAAATTTTCCAGCCTCCGCCGGCGGCTCGCAGAGTACAATAAACAGGGACGCAGAACTGTTTGCATGGACCTCGCTCGCTCATGATGCGGTGGAGAAGCCGCGGCCACTCGGTGCTGCCGGATGCTCTCGGGGCCACTGTCCATGGGGAGGACGAGCAGAGCTGAACAAGGTAGGAGGACACCCTCTTTTTTCTTTTTTCTTTCTCTCTCTCTCTTTAATGTTTAGAGTTTGCTGCAGGATTGCTGCATTCCGAGTGTGGGCTGAGGGAAAGCCAGGGAGACGCGCATTCCACGAATTCGAACGGAATACTCGCAGGAAACCCTGGAGTTTTTACGTAACGTTTGGGTTTGAGAACAAGAAATGGCAAGGCTGGAAAATCTACGCCGCCCCGTTTGGGTGAGGCATATAAAACCGAGGGTTTATTTATTTATTTATTTATTTATTTATTTAAAGAACAGACACGTTTATGATTGTGTTTTTGTTTTTGTTTTTGTTTTTTAATTATCTGAGAGATCCAGGCTAATATTTTCTTAAAGAATGTTTTTGCTGCTGTGGTGAGCTTACAGAATAAAGTTTACATGGATCCTATTCTTGGAAAACACACTTGAAATTAAGAATTAAAAAAAAAAACCTCATGGTAAATAATCATCGGTTGAACGTTCGGGACCAAAACCTGTCTGTTTCTTAGAAATTGGGGGCCACCCTGGTGCCACAGGGCAATGGCTTTAATTGAGTTTCAGAAGCACATTTTAACCACCAAGCCGGAGGCAGCTTCCTGGCTGGTCTTAGACACTGTAGTTCGGTGTTTACATTGCTTTTCCTGGCAGCCTCCGTCTTTGTTTCCAGCTTAAAAGTGGGACCATTATATTCAAAAGTGGAGCTGGGTTAATAACGCTTACCGCAATTATCTGACCTGTATGCATTTTTAATGAGAACACACAGCCAGCAGAATAATTTAGCAAGAGCAGGCTGGCGTTTAAACCTGGGCTCTCACTATGCCCGGCCAGATCAACTTTCTTGCCGGGAAGCAGTGGCTAGAAAGGTTGGAGCAGATTTATTTTTAACACACTTGGCTCAAGGAGAAGGAAAGGATCTCTGTGTTAAAGAATTCTTTCTGCCCTTTTCCGTTTTAAATTTCTGCCAGGCATGAGGAAACCATGCTTTTTTTGTTAGGCTTTGGAAGCATGTGTTTACAATAAATGTGTAACATTTTTAGAATAGTTAGCAAGCACTGAAGCAGAGGAGAAAAAGAAAAAAAAAAAAAACAAAAAACTTGCCTAACCACCACCCCCGTGAGTGTTCCAATGGCTCTTCTAAAAGCCTTACTGTCCCTTTAAAAGACAAAGATTCAGTAGGAAAATATCTATTAGGACATGTGTGTATTTAGGAGACAACGAGGAACAAAAATTAAAAACAGGAGACATTTTTTTTACAATCTGCATAAGGGGAAATTTCTTCCTCTGCACTCCGAGGGACAGGAAGTCTCATGTAAAAGGAGGGCAGTGCCACGTAGATTCTTCTAGACCCACTGTTTCTACTTTCAAGGAGAAGTGCAGGACACTAGCCCAGAACTCCTGACGTCATCCCCCAACTATTTCTGCTGTGTGTTCTTTGATTCGGCTCGTGGAGAGGAATATTTCTCTGTGTCCAGGCCAGGAACATTCACACTCCCAGTTGGCAGGACTTGAGTTATGTCTTCCCATTTAAACCACAGCCTGTCCTTCCCCCTTCTCAGGCCAAATAGGGTGGCTTCTCCTACCTGCCTGTCTTCGAAGGTTTTCTGCAGACTTCTGGCTTGGCTAGAGAAAAACCATGGGGAGCCTTGGGGAGCTGAATGCCACTTTGTCTTTCTGGCCTAAGTCTTCCATGGTGCAGCTCTGTAAGGCTACCTATGTGGACCATCCCTGGGGGGGGGGGTCCCATTCCCAGCTGCCCTGGAGTCATCAACTAAGGCCCAGGATATGCCATCAAGTTCAAGGTTGCTTGGACGGTGGTTGACAGCTGCTCCCATAGGTAAAGAGCACTGTGTCCTAGGGCAGATGGCTCAAAGGAAATTAAGACAATAGTGCCTGCTGTTAACCCTGGGTCACAGGTGGTCCCCGTGACACCCTTGATTGTAAGGATCAGGGGAAAGGTTGGTGTTTAATTGAGTTGCCTTTAAAGGAAAGAATTTGGGTTAGAGGACACTGCAGTTCCCAAGAGTCCCTGCTATCAGCCCAGCCTCCTCTTTCCCACCACGTGGCCTTGAGTAAGTACCTGCCTCAGTTTCTTTCTTGTCGTAGAACATGTAATGCTTACCACAGTGTCTCTTATTTTAGAATTCTAGGGACCCGGTTTGTACAAACAACGATAACAAAAGTTGTTTGTCTCTTGGTACTCTGAGCTGTGTAAAGTACAAAGGGAAGAAACCTCTGTGTGGAGACATTCATTGGCAATGTCTTTGGGGTGTTACCACAAATAGGAAACCCTTCAGTCTCTAGCAATTTCATATAAATTTTCTAACGACGTGTGTGCCTAAACCAACAAATGAAATTTCCAAGTATGGTCGTTTGAATTTTCTCCATCCATTTGGTCTAATGCTCCAGCAGCTGGGAGAGCCAGCCTCTTCCAACAGTGGGCACCGTAGTGCCGTTGTGCCCAAAGCGTCCAGTGCTATTTTTACTTTGACTTGTGTATGGAATTTGTGAAAGTGAAGTGAATACAAGAGAAAACTGGGTGGAAGGGAGAAAGCTTGTGAAATACACTAGCCGTGTAGCTTTACTGCTTAGCAGCCTGCCTTCCCTTTGCTCGTTGTTTTAATTTGCTGTTGCCATGGTGAAAACAAATCAGTATCACATGGCTCCCAGCCAGTCCCGCGCTCAGGGAGCGCCATAGAAATCCAAGAGCAGGTACTCGGGATTTCAAGCAGGAATCGGACAAGAGGATTTAGAGACTGAGCGTAAAGAGAATTCCTCTTGTAGGAGTTGGGTCAACCGCCACACACGTTCTCTTCTTCTCTTCTTGCATTCTCTTACCAGCAAGGAAAAAAAAATGTGGGAGGAAAAGCAGACTGACATGTTTATGTTTCCAAAATAACAAAACGGTAGCTGTGCGGAAGTGGGTAGAGGACACCGAGGTGGGTGAGGAGTTCTAGTTATTGAAGAGACGATCCAGGGACGAGAGAGGTAGTGGCTGTGGAGAACATAGTTCAGGCTCCTTCAGCACCTCCACAGAAAGCTATCCCTGAGAGGCCATAACAGCAGCTACTGGCTTGTCAGACAGAGAGTGAGCAAAGAGGGAGCAGGCAGCTATGGTGAGAGGACAGTGGGCAGGAGTCTCCATCACGACAGATCTGCAGGTCAAAAGTCAGTCAGGTGAGCACAGAAGAGCCCCAAGGTCATGACCCCACAGAGAACAGGACCGTTTTTCCTTCTGACGGAAGCTGCAGCGGCCCAGCCTGAAGCCTTGTAAGGCGAGCAGGGAAGAGACTTCAGAAAACAAATGAAGGGTCAGGAACCCAGGCTTCCTTCCTGGGAAGAGCCACCCAGACAGATACATGCTCTGCTGTGTGGGGCTGGGAACTTGGTATCTCTGCTTTGGAAGGGCTCTGCCAATCAGTTACAGTACTGTTGTTGTTTCTTCCAGAATTTTAGTCAATCCAGTTTTTGTTTTCTTTCTTGAAAATGTGTGCAAAGTGTCCCTTGCAGCTAGAGCAGTAGTCTTGGTGGGGAGTCAAAGGTGATTCCTGCAGTGTTTGCTTCAGGCCTGGGCCTCCAAGGGCTGGGCTTCCTCATCGCTAGGCCCCACCTCCACTGGGGCACTTAGTAAAAACAGGTGTGTGGGGTGAGGCTCCAGCTTTCTTGCGGAGCCTGAGCCCCAGGCTGGTGGACAGTTTTCATCAGGCCTCCTATCACTCCCCCTCAATATGACAAAACGTCTTGGACCCAACAATGTACTCCAGTGTTTTGAGAAAGAAGTCATTGTCTGAGGTCTCCTGGGTCGGCTATTCCATCAACCAGTCAACAAGTGTTTGTTAAATGCCCTTTGGGCAGGCTCTTGCCTTTGGTTAGAACACAAGTTACCAGGTGCCCGCCTTTACATTTAAGTCCAAGCACACCTGTTGTAAAATCCCAAATCTCAAAGGTTTTAAATAGTCACTATTAGCTTATATTAAGTTAGCATCGTTAATCATCAGACATTGGTTTTAATCTAGACATGATTCTGGTGTTTAGAAGCAGAACAAAACAGACTTTCTTTTAAAAGATTTTTAGATTTTAGATATCTCTATTTAGACAGCTCTATTTTCTTCACCTCTACGGTATTTCTTACCAACAGTGTTGTATGATTAGCATAAAGGGAGATGAGCCATGGTTTCGGGGTGCTGGAAACATCCAGAATAGATGGCTATTGAGAGCCTGCAGTGGCGAGGGACCAGGGCACATCGCTTATGAAGCCAGAACAAAAGGAAATCTTAGACCCTCTCCCAGTTCTGAGCTGCTGCCTGCCCCCAACAGCCCATGCTGCAATTATGAGGAAACCCGATGCTGATGCTGCCTCTGGGGGATTAGACTTCCCCACATTCTTTCCTAAACGCAGGGTTGGTTTCTTGTTTTGTTTTGTTTTTTGTTTTGTTTTGTTTTTAGCTGATTTCCCCCTCTTTAAGTTGTTTTGATGGTGGTAGATTGGGGGATTTTGCCCCTGAACATCCTTCCTTTGGACGAAGACAAACTATGTGGTTAGCACAGAGCTGAGAGAGAAGTCTCAAAGGGCAGCCTCTGCTTTTAAAGCATCAGCCCTGGATCTCCACTGATGAAGGAGCTGGGCCCAGGTTAGGAGCACCCATGGCAAGCTGGCTGTTGAAGATCTGTAGGGTGTGAAGTCACCTTAGTGGAAACAGGAGAGACTGTGGGATGCCCTATAACATGGCAAGTTTCTTTCCTGAGCTGTCTGCAATGCACAGAAGCTAGGAAAGCAGATCCTTACAAACAAGATAAGAGCAAAGCACAGCTTGTCCTCAGAAGAATGAACGGATGTGGGGGCTCCTTGCACTTGACAAGGCCTTTTGCTGGCATTATCTCCATTAACGGCCCAAATGGTGAGGTAAAGGTGGGAACCTGGATTAGCACTCTCTGGGCACAATTCCAGGAGATGAGTTACTACTAGATTTAAAAACTTTTACTTGTTAGAGGA